AAAAAAAAAAAAAAAATAGTATCATTTACTGAAGCTCAGGATATTAACAAATAAGGTACATTATAATAAAATGTGAAATAAAAACAAAGTTTAAAAACTTCTAAAATGCGGGGCGGGGATTTAGCTCAGTGGTTCTGGCGCCAGCCTCGCAAGTGCAAGGTCCCGAGTTTGATCCCCAGTACCAAAGAACAAAACAAAACAAACAAAAAAAACTTCTAAAATGCAATTTTAGTTAATTATAGTAAGATTCCATGGATTGGCCATCACTTAGTTATCCTTTTGAGTTTGAGTCACCAGATCACATGGCGGAGGGCAGTGCTTCAATGTGAAGGCAGCCATTGTGAGCTCTCACACTGTGTACTCTGTCCCCAGATAACATCCTAAACTCAGACACTTGAACCCTGTCGGCTTTGCTAGGGAGTGGGAAAGAGTTTGAGTGCTGAAAAGAAGGAAAGACAGATAAACAAAGGCTTCACTGGTTTTTCCTGGACCCTAAGTGACCCATCAACAGCCATTCTGCTCTGCTCTTTGCAACTGTATTTACGAGCTATGATCCAACCTTGAGGCCTTAAAACACATACACCTGCCAATCTTGAATTGTACCAGGAAGTAATTTATTGGGCCCTGGTTCATTGTTTCTATTACCTAACTGCCATCACATTTAATCATTTTCTAAATCATCTGTTTCATTTTTAAGTCACTAAAATTCAGCATGTCAGCAGCAGCATGGTAGATGATGTATCTACCACGATGAGGTTTGTCAGAAAAAGTTTTGTGTATGAATACCCAGCAGATTTAATCAACACAATAGGAGCCTGTCCAACTCACAGTCCAGCCTCAATCACAAGGCTTCCATTATAAAGCTAAAGAAACCATTGCACTGACCAATCACACCCGGCCCATTACACTGGGGCCTCAGACCGTCTGACCATTACCACATTAGTACTCTGAGGAAAGAACTAAGGATGCTTTTAAAATAACTATATATAGAGAGGAATTTTTAAATGATGGATATTAGGAATTGTCCAAATTTTCTACCCTTTTAACAAATTATCAAAACAAATGCCATGTGAATCCACGTGCTAATTGAGTCCCTTTATGTGCCAAGCATTGTGTCATCACTACTAGCACTCTGCCCAAGTACAGCTCCTTGCACACTGCAGGCACATAAAATTTCAGAGCGAGGGCAGACTTCAGTGACTAACCAAGTTCTTACCTATCTGGATTTGGAGCCCAAATCTTCCAATGCCTTATAAACACCAAGCCTGCACTTGGGGGGGGGGTCATACAAAATAAGTTAAATCCCTTCTAATAACAGACCTTCACCTCTGTGAAGATAGCTCTAACAAGTACTTCTTAAGGTTACTGTTCTCTAAGCCAGCAGTTCCAGTTCCTTCACTTGCTGATAACTAAAGTCTTCCAGATTTCTACCAGGACTAGTCTGTCAGGATGCCTCCTTCAGGGTGATCACCAAATTGGAATACAATCTTCAAGATGGCTCTGACACAAGGAAGAAAAGACTGCCACTGCCCACCCTCTACAGAAACCTCTTAAGGCAAGGCATGGTAGTACATGCTTGTAATCCCAGATACTCAGCAGGTTGAGACAGGAAGAATGGCAATTTTGAGGCAAGCTGAGGCCAAGTTAGTGAGACCCTGTCTCAAAAATAACAGAAAGGGCTAAGGATGTAGCTTAGTAGCCCTGGGTTCAACCTCTAGTACCACACACACACAGTTTCTAAGTTCTTGATTACTGTAAGTTCTTCATAAATCTTAGTTTCTTCCTCTTCTTGCTCTCTAAGAAAGTAAAAGGGGGATAAATTTGAGCTTTAAGATTGAACTAATTTACTAGTCCATTAGAATAAATTTCATTTTCCAACTCAATGATCATTCATAACCGAACAAAGTAGTCTGTTAAGAACTTACAATTCTGCAAGCAGAGAGTATTCCAGGTAGAAGGGTCCATAAGAAGCATGCGTGCCATTTGTTGACTGTGCCGCTGGGGTGGGAGATGTAGGCTTAGTTATGGGTAAAGCATTTTTGGGAATAGAAGGCAGCTGTTTTTTTGGTGCAGTTCGTGGAGGACTGGTTTTCATGTCCCCTGTTAATGTCTTCTCTTCACCATCAGAACGCTATTCAAGATGAAGTTGTGAGAATGTTAGGATGATTATTCAATAACAAGATTACAATATTAGCTCCAAGACCTAAAAGCTAGAATTGCTCTTTTACATGGACATTCTGACACCATCATCAAGATGACTTTAAAATCTTTCCAGCAGACAGGTCACAGAAAGAGCAGACAAGGCTGAAATAAGGCTAAAGCATTAGAAAAGTGTCATTAGTAGCATCCTGTAAGGACAATACAATCAGTATCTAGAGGATTAAGTGAAACAAAGAAAGAAATGGTTTCTCCTGGTAGCCTCAAGACGCAAGGCATTACTAAACCACTAGACAACTGAAGATGACTAGAAAACTCCTTTTGTAGTATAGAAGGGCAAGCACTAAAAAGATGCTGTAGAAGGGCAGGTGGTAAGTAAAGTTCAAAGTAAATGCTGTGGATGACTGAAATTAGTCACTCCCTGATGTCAGCATCTGGATAAAAACAAGGAATGAACTATTCTCATTTGTCTGATTTTGATCTTGCCCTTAATGGATGTCTCCACATTCGGAGCAACACCAGCATAAACTGTCATCCTTAGTCAAAGAAAAAGTCAAAATGAGCTAGAAACTAAACTACCAGTACTTCCCTTGGCTTGAGTACAGCCTACTTAATAAGCTATATAAAAATGTATAGAAAAAAGTAATCACTGTGTTCTCTGACAGAATTATGGGTTATTTTTCTTATTGTTTCCATAGTTAAAGCATTCCTAAGATGAAAATATATTTTTAAAGAAATTTTATTTAGAAAAATTAAATTAGTGCCCCTCAAAAGTCTGAGTTGACCATAGCTTTCCCAAAGTTTCTCTAACCACTGAATTCTAAAGTTTAACAAAAACTATTACAATGATGTGTCACAAATTTCAGTATGTATAAATATAATCTTAATGAAAAAATCTTAAAATTGTGATATCCAAAGTGCCTTCTATTTGCCATGCAATCTCAGCCTTAGAAACTGACCTTAATGGATAAAGTAATTATTTCTCAAAAATAAAACCTAAACTAGACCATTTTATTAAGATTATAAGTGAATAGGGCCGGGGATTTAGCTCAGTGGTTTCGCTGCCTGCTGTGCAAGAGCAAGGAGCCAAGTTTGATCCCCAGTACCGGGGGGTGGGGTGGGGGGTAGATTATAAGTGAACTTGGTATAGATTTTTGTTTCCTGTGGTTCTGGGGATTAAATCTAGGGCTTTCATACTTAGCTACATCCGTAGCCTTTTTATTTTTTGAGACAGGGTCTCACTCAATTGCCCATGCTAGACTCAAACTTGTGATCCTCTTGCCTCATGCTCCTAGAGTACTGGAATTACAGGTGTGCATTAGCATCCCTAGCTGGTGTCTACTATTTTAGCCTTCAATTTGACCGTCTCTTCTGACAAAGAAGCAAACAGGTTTGCTTACATTTATTGACTATACCTACTTTGCGTACAGAGCTTGTAGACATGCTCCAGAAAGGGTTCATAATGTGTGCTCCAAACAAAGAAATTCACTGGCCTGTGTCATCCGATTCTTCTGTCCTCAGCATTCACTTTACCTTAAAAAAACCAAAAATATAAATATACCAACACCAGTTAAGACTTCTGAAATGGTTAGAAACTAAATCTAATACCCTGAAGATACAGTATAACACTGCATAATATATAGTTACAAAAGCCTAGGCTATGTCTTTAGGCAGCTTCAGAAATAATTTCCTTCTATATTCATTCCTCCTTAGGCTCCAGTTTTTCTGGCACCTTTAGATGTCTGCAAAAATCTGTGCACTAGGTCCCTGGCTAGGATTCAGGATATTTGGTGACACAGTTCAGCTTTAGTGCCAAAAATTCTGAAGATAACAGACCACAATAGTTGCTACTAGCTTGATACCTAGGTGTTTAACTAAGGGGAAAGCTTTTGCCAGATTCAGAATGTACTGTCCTTATCTCTGCAAATGTCCTATCAATGTTCCTCCCGTCATGATAAAGGAACAAATGATAAAGATCTAAGGTGGCTGAGTTAAGAGTGTCTTAAATGAGTTGTCTCAAGTACAAATAGAGTCATCCTGGCAAAAACTGTTAGCCAGAGAAATAAGAAAAAAACAAGGAAAGCATATCAATGTCAGAAAGAAGAGAGGGGGAATAAACTGCTAAAAGTAGGGAAATTCTGCAGGATCCGGCATTTAAAGGGTTGTCAAATGATACAGATGCAAGAAGTGCAAAAGAGACATTTTACAAACAGATCTACTCAAGGCTTCAAGTAGTGGATAAGAAAACATGTTTCAAAGGTCACAAAGTCAGTGGGTCATTTACTAAAAATATGAAGAAGCAAAGGAAAAAGCAGCCCAACCCAGCTGTAAGAAAAGCAACTTCGCTGTGGTGACTGCCCTCCAGCTCAGCAGTGTTTAAAGCAGAGCTCCTGTGAACTTCTATTTATACCAGTCAAGATGCTGAATGGGAAAAGGGTCAAAACTAAGCAACATTTTTCTCTAAATTCCCAAAAAGCAAATCGTGTACAAAATGTCACTTATCAGCACTCATTTGCTTTCTTTCCGATTTGCATGTGAGATCACCAGTGAGTACTAGGTCTATCATACCCAGCCAGTGCCTATTACTGCTGTTTTGCTTTCCAAGAGATAAACGCCACCCATTAATTAAAACAGAACCAGAGGGAGAGGATCCCAGTTCTTCCACAAACATGCTGTTTATATCCAATAACTAGCAACAGCTCTCTGCAAATCCCTTTAAAAGAGACTATGACACATGAAAATAGCTGGGACATCAAAAATGTGGGAGAGCATGTTCCTGTTTGGCCCACTATGACTGGGCCAAAATCAACAACACTGATTTACCCCACTGCCCTTTAGGACATACCTGATTGAACAGTACCCCCACCCCCCACCCCTATGCAGTGGTGCTCCTAGACTTGCAAATGTCCTGGGATGGAGCAGTTACCTATAAAGTCCCTCTCAAGTCTACTACGTTATTATCCTATGATTTTGCCTTTATGAGTCCAATAAAACTTGCCCCTAGTTCTTCCTATCTTCAAGAAGAGGTATTATTAGGGCCGGAGATTTAGCTCAGTGGTTCCGGCGCCTGCCTCAAAAGTGCAAGGTCCCAAGTTCGATTCCTGGTACCAAAAAAAAAAAAGAAAAAAAAGAAGAGGTATTATTTTCTGTCCGGCGTTGTGATGGATTTAACCCAATGGTTCCAGCAGCAACACAATCACGACAAACCCTAGCACGTTTCAGGTGTCAACAACACCATTTATTACATGCCTAGTCTGCGACCGGCATAGTATGACATGGTCCAATAGGCATGACATAGATGAAAATCGCAGGCAACATCCTTGTAATTAGTAAACAGTTTTAGAATTTGTTAGTTTGGCTCTGAGAACAAAACATGATTGCTTTCTGATCAGACAGCTAAGTCAGTCTCTTGGGCCTGTGCGAATGATCTGTACCTGGCAGAGGCCAAATAGAAGCCGCCGCTGCTGTTCCTCCTAGGTGCCTTATTGCCTTCATAGTTGATAACTTAATACATCACCCTGAAAAGGGCTTAAGAAATTCCACATCAAGAGGTGACGGAGCAGAGCTCAGAAAAAAGACGACAGCCCCGGCCCCGGTCAGGCTCGCTGGGCACAGCCGTGACTAGCAGCAGGCTAGGACTGGCACCCTCGCCCGGGGCGAGCACGCAGAGAATCTGGGCAAACCTGTCTACAGGTGATGCGAGGCCGAGGCCTGTCCTGGCCACCCAGGTGGCTCAAGGCCGATCAGGGCCCGCCGCTGGGGTCCAGACCCTCCCAACTCGTTGCCTCTCAGCTAGGGTAGGGGCCCAGGGCCGGGACCTGGGAGGGCGGGCCCCCCGCAGGGTCCAGCTAACTGTGCCCGCCTCCTCCCTCAGGCCCGCCTGGTCCAGCTGTAGCAACAACCTGGGACTGAAGACTGCGGCCGGGGACGGCTGCGCAGCAGGTGCCTGCAAGAGTGCACGGGTGCCCGGCCCCGCCCCCGTGTCCCAGGCTGGCCGTCGCTGTGGAGTAGAGAGCGTTGGGGAGGGCATACAGATGCCAGGCCCGAGGACACAGGCGGCCCGGGCTAGTGGACTCCTCGGTCCTCGCGTACCTACAACCGACTGGGCAGTCCGCCTTACCCTGGTGTCTTCAATGCAGAGCTCCCGGCTGCCGAGCGCGGTCGGTCCTACAGCATCTTTAGCTGTAGCTCCAGCCCTGCCCCTACCCGGCTCCTGCCCGCGCCCGGCCCCGCCCTGCCCTGCTCATTGTCGGGCTCCTCCCCCTACCCACGCCCGCTGGCCCCGGATGCTTCCACGCATCTGCCAGGCGCCAAGTGGCTCCCACACCTGTCAATCAAAGACGTCCTTCCGGAGGCGTTGAGGCGACACCACTGCTTTCTGCCAATCAAATCAGTTTCGCTCGGGTGGGACCGCACTTGACCCTCCCCTTACGTAACAGGGCCTGGCGAACCTTCTGTCTAGGAAGTGTCAGCCCCTAGGGAGGACTGGGCGGAAACAAACAAGAGCCGGGAAACCATTGGTCGCTGCTTCCGCCAGTCACCCTCGAGACTCACCCAGAGTCTGCAGGCCAGCAGCCAACTCGGCCTTTGTGGGCTGTGACTGCGGGTTGTCTTCACCCTGCACCAGGCTGGTCTCTGCGAGGAGCCTGGGCGGGGCCGGCCGCACACCGTCCTCCACTCCGCAGCGCAAGGAGGCCGAGGCGTCGGGTCGGGCCCATCTGGGTCCCCAACTGCTGGAACGGGAAGGGCTAGGACTGCTGTGGGTTGGGAAGGACGCTTTCCGTAAAGTTGAGAAACACTCTGGTCCACATCAGAGGTGGGGGAGCTAACGAAGGGCTGCACAGCTGAATTGTCATCCCTTGGCACAAGAGTGGCCGGGGAGCTTCAAAAAATGAATGTGTCAGCCCAACTGGTAGAATTTGATGGGGGCGGGAGGCGTACCAGGAACTGCTATTGTCACCCCTGGTGGTTCTACTGTGCTCTGAAGTTTGAGACCCTCTCTCTCAGGTGACGTAGCTCCTGGGCTCCCCCACCAGACACAAGCCTGCGCTTTGACCAGAAATAACCCTTTACCCCTGTGACTCTTGACTGCTCAGTAGCTTCCCCTTTAGCATTTGAGACACACTATTCTGGCTTCCTTCCCATAGTCCCATCTGCCTAATACAGTAAACAGCGCCATTGGTTTTAATAGCTCTAGGCCTTTTTTTATAATGGTGCCTCCCCATGGGATGTCTGTCCAGTCCCTGACATCACACCCCCTGGCCACCCTGCACCCAAGTTTCAGCATCTTCCCTGGACACCAGTGGAGTTGACTTGTGTTTCTGGTGCCGTCCAATTCCGTACCTTACACACTTACTCGCAAGTCATATTATCTAACCAGTTTATTCCACTTTTGGTTGCCTCTGAGATTCTGGTAAAGGACTTACTTATTAAATGGCAGGAAGCCAGGCTTTCCTGATGTTAATCCCATGGGTTGGTTCTGAAATCCAGCTTCCTCCCCCAGCTAAAAACTTTACTCCAGTTTGGACACATTCAGAAATATTTTAATATTGGTCTTAATATAAAAGGAAGGGAAGCCAAAGTCCTTTTTCTCTGGCCATAGGGGAGGAAAAGAACAGGTTCCTTTGACACCTCTTGGGCCCACTTACTCCCAGCCTTCTCTGCAGGCTCACTGTTCTCCCTCAGAGTTTTTTGGTTTTTAATCTCATCCCTTCCCCAACCTTCAGTTTTCACCAAGGACTCATGTACATATTTTTCCAGCTCAGACCTCTGCACTGAGCTCAGGTACAGTAACTACCTGTCCGTTACGCACTGGATGCCTCGGATACAGGCCAATATCAGGCTATTCATGGCTGCAAGCTTGCTCCAGAAAACACACCCTGGCTTACATAGCAAGGAAATCTCTCCCATGAAGAGGCAGGTTTCCGGGGTGGCAGTGCTCTTCAAGCACTGCTGTTTGCTTTGCAGTGTGGAGTTCCCCTTTTGAGCTGGTAGCACATTGGGCACATCCAGTGTCTATAGAATAAAATGTTTCCCTTTCTTCTGAGCTATAAGAATAGAAACCCAGAAACATGCTTACATGTTTCAATGACCAGAAATGCATCACCAGGTCTCTGCTTACAACTGAATCAGTCAAAGGTCTGCCATGTTTGGCTTGGCTAATCAAAATTGACCTTGGATTCCTGGACTTTAGCCAGAGGATTTGCAGTTTGAAAACTTCACTTTGTGCGGAGAACAGGTTATAGGGGCACAATGTCTCAGGCAAGAGGTGATTATATTAGTTTACAGAGATGGGGAACTTAATGAGTTACAGAGATATTTAAGAGGTAGACTGGACAGAATTTGGCCGTAGATTCAATTTGGAGGGAGGAGGATAAATGGAGGTATCAGCTGGCTGCAGTTTGCATGCCTGTAATCCCCATGCTCTTGGAGATTGATGCAGGAAGATCACAAGCTGGATGGAGCCAACCCTGGGCAACTTGGCAAGACCCTGTCTTGAAGGCAGGAGGGGGCTGGGCATGTAGCCCAGTGCAGAGGCCCTGGGTTCAATCTCCAATACTGGGAAAAACAGAAGAAAGGCATAACGGATGGGTTGAGCTACTATCAGTGATGGCAAACCTTTCAGAGCTTTCAATGATACAAAGAGCTTGTTGTGGTACGAGTGCCATGGGTTCACCACCACTGTACTAGATAGTGGAATCATGAAGTGAGTTGGGAAATCATGAACCATAAGCAGGTATGGGAAGGTGGGAAATGAGAAAACAATAGTTCTGTTTTGGATAGGTGCAGTTTGGCAAGTTTCTGTAAGCACTGTAGCTCTGAACCTGATACTCATTTCTCCCCTTCATTGCTGTCAGAGCATTGATTTTGAGATTTTCAAGCCCTTCTATGGTTCTCCACTGGTTCCCTTGTAGGCAAAGACCAAACTCTGTACAATGGCGGAGTCCAGCCCTACTGGTTCCAGACTTAGCCACTCAAGCATTTTTTTCAATACTCAGAAGTGTAATGTTCCCCCACCCTGCCCCAGCGCAAGATGGAGCTTTTGTTCGGATTATTCTCTCCTCCCCACAGCTCTCAACTCAAACACCACTTCCTCAGGGAAATGTGGTATTTGGGGGTGGGGGGATGACTCGATTAGTACCCATCTCCCATACTAGTCTGTGAGAGAAAGACAATGTCTGTTTGACTTTTCAGTTTCCCCTGCATCCAGCCTTATGCCTGGATGAAATAAGGATGCAAAATATACTTTGCAAATGAAGGGAAAAAATAAATATTTATTTATTTATTTTTGGTACCGGGGATCGAACTCGGATCCTTGCGCTTGTGAGGCAGGTGCTGGAACCACTGAGCTAAATCCCCGGCCCAGAAAAACTAAATATTTGAAGCAGCAGCCTGTGTATATTTGAAATGGCAGTATTTGTACACCCCCAGCTCTGTGCCGAGAAAGTAGCTTGCTATTGTTGTAAAATGGTTTGTTCCCTCTGAAACTCATGATGAAATTTGATTTCCAGTGCAATAGCATTAAACAGTGGTGGGACTTTAAAGGGTAATTAGGTAACAGAGAAGGATTAGTACAATTCTTGCAGGACTGGTTTAATGAGCTTGATAGTGGATTGTTATAAAGTGAGGCCATGGATTTTGTTTTCCCTCTTCCAAGCCCCCTTTCTGCCATTAGATGAAACTGCACAGTGCTTTGACAAACATTGGCACCATATTTGTGAACTTCCTAGCCTCTGGAATCACGAACTAAATCAACCTTTGGTCAGTCACCTTTCTGTTGGTGGGACAAAATACCTAACATCCACAACTTGGAGGAGGAGAGGTTTATTTTAGCTCAGGGTTTTCAGTCCATGGTTGGCTGGCTCCAAGGCAGAAACAGCATGTGAGAAGGATATGGTGGAGGAAAGCTGCTCAACCCATGGCAGCCAGGTAACAGAGACAGGGAGAGCCACAGAGAGACACACACCTTCCAGAGGGACACCCCAGTGACCCATCTTCCCATCTTCTCCAGCCAGGCACTACCTGCCTTGTAACAGCACATTCAGCTATGAACTCATCAATGGATTCTCCCACTGATGAGATTAGAGACCCCCAAATCCAATCACCTTCCACAGCCCCACCTCTGAACATGGTATCCTTTGGGGGACATTTTAGATCCAAGCCATAGCACCTCAATTCTTTAGAGCAGATACCCTGTTATAGTAACAGAAAACAGCTAAGCTATAGCTCACTAAGAAAATCAAGATGATTTATTTGAAAGGAAATGGTGCCTTAAAGAATTGTTTCTTTAGGACTAAAATATAAAGTGCTGAGAAAAAAACCAAATGACCTTAATCTTTATCTATAAAAACTTTTAAATTGCTTCATATTATATTTGCTATTTTAAATTTTTGGAACATATCTGATATTTATGTCAAAAGGTTCTTTTTGCACTAGATCTTCACAGATGTGTGATCTCCATGAGTATTCAAGATTCCTGGTCATGTTTTAATTAGAAGAATATTCACTGAATCCATTCTTTTGGTCTCTAGAAAATTAATGTACAAAGCTAACTCACTGATTTACTACAAAGGCCTTAATGAAAAGAAGGGGAAAAACAATAAAAGTTAATGAAAATGTGTATGTTGTATACATTTGCACACACAGAGCCAATGCTTTACCTTAATCTATTTGCTCCTAAATCTTTTTCTGATTCCTGTATATGTATCATTAGATGTATCTCATTTACAGTAGATTCTTATATATATATTTCACAGATTACACATATTGCTCAACATATGAGCCAATTAGCTATACATTTATTTTTATATATCTTAGAAAAATATAATTAGCACATCAAAGCCTTGGTTTTATGGATAGTAATATTTAGGATGAGACCAAAATAGGCATTTAAATTTTTTAAATGAATGAATTTAAGGGAGGATATTAAATAAGTAATATTCCATTACTTGATAATGATCTTCAGATAACAGAAATCATGGATTTTTTAGAATTATTGAAATTTGAGAAACTGCTGTAGAGGGATGATGTGAATTTTGTCCTTCCTACATCCTCGGTGATGATTACAATTCTTGTCACCTCACAAATATGCTTCCAGGTTTGGGTTATCTCGTATTTTCTTCCCTGCCTATTCTCCATAACTCCCAGCTTTGACTGAGTGGGTGAATGGATGGATGGCTAAAGGGATCAATTTTACAGACAGATTACAGCATTTCAAAATAATGTCAGAGTACCTGATGGATCACTGGGAAGATTTATTCTTAAGGAAAAGCAACCAGTA